ATTCAAATACTTCTCAATGTCATTACAAGTATCCACTTTCAAACTTACAACTTCTTTTTTGTAGCTACGCAACTTAATGCTTGATTTCACAAGATTCACAACAAGATTCCTCTTGAATATCTCCTTGTAATTACCCACTTTAAGTATATGTTTCACAACATGCAACCACATAACCGTGGTTTAGCCTTTAAGTTTCTTAGCAACTTCTAAATACCACATTACATCAATGTGCATATAAAATATTTCTAAGTAACATCAATTATCATTCTTGCCACATATAGTTTGGTATATCCTATTTCAAAACTTTGGCGCAATTTCCAAACACTTAATTACTCTTTTGTCCATTATCCTTCCAAGCATATTCATTCCAAAAACGTGCACTTATTCTCCAAGATATTCGAATGTATACTCATCTATTCATGCCTAAATTGATATTCTTAAGTTTCTAGTATGTCATATAATTGGTCTTGTCTGGTTACTAACCTTTTCCCTTCAACCATGTCAAGATATGGTTTACAATTCCTCATAACATTGCTTTACGTTAGCTCATTTGCTATACCAACCTTGTAATCCTTCTTTCACAATTTCATCATTTAGTATTGGCATTACTTTATCAATGTCCCGTACATTTTTTTAACTTTTCACCTCTTTTTCTCTTGGTCATTTAACAAAACTTAATCTCTTGTCTCCTTTATTCCTTAGGATATGACTTTAATTAACATGATGCTCATCTCAACACTTCACATTATAGCTTATCTCATTGTAGTCATCTCAAAAACTTTCAATTTCTCTTTTGCTTACAAGTCAATATATGGCAACAAGAACTTTTCCATTCATTCACCTAGACATTCTTCAAAATGTTTAAAACTCCGATTAAAAAATCCCAACATCAAAGTCAATAGCCATAATTCGGCTTGCAAATTCATCAGCATGCCCCATTTTTGCCAATGATTCTTTATTCTTAGTCATAAGCCTTCTAAAAACAACACATCTTCAGTGCTATAGCGCCGGACAGTCAGCACCGTGGTGTTACACTTGCATGGCCTCAGCTCTACAGCGCTGGGGAGCTAGCACTACGGCGTTGTGGTTGCTGGATGTGGGGCAGCTTCAGTGCTGCAGTGCTGGGAAGTCAGCGTTGCGGCTCTATGGCTACTAGAAAATTTCCTCACCAAGCCTTTCTTGTTATTTATAACTAATTGTCTCTCTTGCATTGCATCTTACCAATTCACAAACTTTCAACTTAAAATTGCCATGAAAATGGCCCATCTTGGTTAACACCTTATACTCTCATTTATTATTAATTCAAGAATTCATCTCCCCATATTTCCATAATTACTCCCAATAGTATATATTGTGTCAATTTATAATTTTATAATGTCATGGCACTATGTGCTCTCATTCTTACCATCGATCATGCTTCATGAAAGAATAATTATAAGGTGTAAATATATTCCTTGTGCATGGCATAACTCTTTATGACTTGCCTTTTCACTGTAGCCACTTGACAGAGCTATTGTTTCGCCCCTTTTTCATGTATATCAAGGATATATCCCTTAACATCTCTCATCCATAGGAATATCGGGTTACGACTCCCTCAATACTTAAATTTACAAACCTCGATTTAATCACATTAACCATTATAGTGCCTGCCATGGCAATTGCAAGACCAAAAATAAATTCCCGTTCAAGGTCTCATCCTTAACTTAACTTAATTAACAAACTCCTTGTTGGTCCTTATCCATTGACCTAACTTCCAAATTTCACTACCATGGCTATAATTATCATTCTACCAAATGAATAAGCTCTAACGATCCTATTAATCTTGCTTCATTAGCCATTGTTAAAAAGATTTTAGAGCTAAACACTTCTAACGAAAAGTTAACAGGATAACTTACTAAAAACTTGCCTCACATTGTCAAGCCTCAGCTTTTGTATTCACAGTATAATAACTGATTTGCATTTAACTTATTCATTAATACAGCTTATCACCATCATCCATCATATTCACAACAACTTCATCATGGTTTAGCTTCGTTCACAAGCCATTGATAGCTACCACAAATCCGTCCCTAATCCAGGTTCAATATTCTCATGTCACGCACATATATCTTTCTTTTACTAGCAATCCAACTTTATCAGGTAGGTTATCTTTTCTACCAATCATAATCATAGTTTTGTATATATATAGGCCTTTATCAAGGCATCCATTTCCTTCAGGCATTTTGCCCTCCAATTCCTCTTTATGTGTCTCGCATTCTAGGTGGCATCTCTTACCTAGATGGGAGCAACACCAAA